TAAAGAAGTATTTGGTTCATAACTGGGTCGTATGGGGTAGTATTGAGTGGTATGGGCATGGACTTAGATCTGATCTAATTCCGTGCCCGTGGTATGGGGTAGTATTGGGTCATAGTCACGGCAATTCGGTGATGTTTTCGGCACGAAATCGCATATTTCCCGATAACATATGGCAGATGGAAGTAAATAACGTCTACAAAGGTGATATTTCACAGTAATTAAGAAGTATTTGGTTCATAATTGGGTCGTATGGGGTAGTATTGGGTGGTATTGGGTGGTATTGGGTAGTATTGGGTGGTATTGGGTAGTATTGGGTAATTAGACGCGCCCCTTGAGAGTGGACATGTACAGGTTGTTTACTGCCACAATGTGTCTAATGACAGTCGTTATTGCTTTGTGAAGGCCAAGGTGACCCCGTCACAAAGAGTCAAAGACAAACCACACCAACCATGGGTGTGCATTGGAAAATCAGCTGGGGATATACATTGTGCCCATTGTACTTGTATGGCAGGGTAAGTTTATTACTGTTATAAAACTGAAGTGATCCCATTGCTAAAGACCAGGGTGCATAGAAAAGTGGTCTTTTAATAAGAGGTGGTACCCCGTGTTGACAATCTGATTAAAATCATCTTATATGGCTCCATTTACTTCATATACTACACCTGTATGAAGTTAACAGAACCCTGTAACAATTGATTTTAATCAGATTGGTGGTCTTCACATACAGTCTTCTATATACTGAAATATTCCAATATATGCAGGTGATCTCTATGCACAGGTCTGGCAGTTTTAACTGTAATTATTTGTAAGTAAGTTACCATTTAATGGAAGCTCTGACTGAATCGAGCTAAATAAATACTTAAATAACAACTTTAGCATTATGTTTTAAATCAATATGATTTGGTGACTGTGAGTAAACAGATTTTTGTGTACATGATTTTTAATAAAACCTGTATGTTTAATCATGTGTCTTCTTTTTTAATATTTTACAGATTAGGGGAGGTGTGTAGTCATGTGGCAAGTGTTTTGTTCAAAGTACAGACAGGAGTCCTCCTAGGACTTACCACAAAGTCATCAACGAGCGAAATATGCAAATGGAATCAGACCTTCAGAAAAGAGGTAAATTTAAAAAAAACACCAAAGGAAGTAAAATTTGTAATGAAAAAACATCCTCAATGTTGATATCCTCATAGAGATTTTTTATAATGTAAATAATTATGACAATAACAACAGGAAATGTCTTTTTTTTTTTACTGTAGTTTAAAAAAAAGTCCTGGGTTTATCCAAAAACTCCAAATAACAATAGTGGTTAAGGTTATTGTGCACAAGCATATATTTGTTTTCAAAACCCATTACTGCAGGAACTTATTCAGTCTATTTTATATTTTAGATTGAGCCAAAGCCTGTGGCAGAGATGCAGAACATTCTTAAAGCCCACAGAACAAAACCGGTGGAAACTGTAAATGCTACAGGTAAAGATGCTCTACCAAACCTGTCTGTGCTTAAAGCTTTGAAAGAAGTTGTGCCAAATGCAGCATTTTTTACAACTATCCCACCAGTAGACAAAGATGATATTGACACTACCATACCAAAGAGGAAAGTTGATAAGATGCCACCCACACTAACATCTCTTCGGAATAAAGGTCTTGTTGATGTAGACACAGACACATGTAGTAACATTTGGACAAACTACAATGTTACCAAACTTCAAGCTTCTAACTTGGAAATTGTAACACGAAGTCAGTCAGCATGTGACAGGTGGTATGAACACCGAAATGGACGGATAACTGCCAGTAAGGCTCATGATGTATTTGTACGCAAGGACACAACCAGCCCAAATGTACTTGTAAAGAACATCATGGGGTACAAGTCCTATGACTTGTCAAAAAACAAGGCTATTCGTTGGGGACTTGATAATGAGGATAAAGCTCGTACACAGTACACAAGTGCTAATAAGACTGTACACAATGATTTCAAGTGTGAAACAACAGGATTGTTAATAGACCATAGGTCTCCCTTTATTGGTGCATCTGCTGATGGACTTAGATGTTGTACCTGCTGTGGAAAAGGAACTGTGGAAATCAAATGTCCTTATAAACATAGACAGCGAAACTTGAGTGAGGTAGCCAGTGAAGACAGTAGTTTCTACCTAACCCCTGATCTAAAACTTAAAGAGTCACACAAGTACTATACACAGGTTCAAATGCAAATGCATGTGCATCATGTTCAGTTTTGCGACTTTGTGGTCTGCACAGATTGTGACATGGTAATTGTTGTCATTCCATACAACGCAATGTATTGTCAGGAAGTTGTTAAGAAATGTCAAACTTTTTTCCAAACTAGTGTGTTGCCAGAAATTCTGACCGGAAAACTAGAGACAGATATTTGTGTTCAACCTTCCAAAATAACAAGCAAGACGTACTGTTTATGCGGAGAACCTGCTTATGGACTTATGGTGCAGTGCAGCAATGACTCCGACTGTCCAATGGAATGGTTTCACTACAAATGTGTGAATATCAAGAGGAAACCAAGGGGAAAGTGGTTATGTCCCGAATGCAAAGCATAACAAAAAAACATTAAATTCAATCAGACTTCATTTATTCGGCACTGAACTATTCATTTTGTATTTGACTCTAGAAGCATTTGATGAAGACAATTTTAAATAACAATCAAGAAGGAAAATAAAATCATGAGCAAATAACTGACTTGCCAACTGGAAACAAGAAAAATGTGTACGTGATGTAATGTAACAACATGCTTTTTTTTGCTTCCTTGCCATGATAACTTGTATTATTTTATGAAGACAGCAAGGAAAAATACATTGAAAGTATGAATATTTGTATATATATAAATTAAGTCAATATTGTTCATGATCATGTGCATTAATATTTTTTTTAAAATGTGTGAAATATAGTAATATAACTGGATGGACATTATTTTATAAGTACCTTAACAAAAATTATTGTCCAGATTTTGAAAGACATAAGCAATGCTCAGTTATATGTTTATTTCTCTGACAATACAATGTATATCATACATGTATTTATCTCAATAATTTATTGCAAAAATATATACATACACCATGTCTACACTTCAGCCTTATTGTTTTCTTTTAGTTACATAACAGATGGTCTTGTTTTCTTTATGTCATGAGACACAGTTAATTGTTAACTAAACTTGGATGCAAGTTGCACAATGCAGCACATATCACAGATACTGAGTCACAATGGGGAACTAAAGCTATTGGCATGACTCCACTCAAAATGCGAAACATTTTAAAGCGTCCAATTGCACGCTCCACATGAATTCTTACTCTAGCAATTTTTCTTGTCATCTCAACATCTTTCTGGCTCAGTTGTAGTTTTCCCTTTGTGAAAGCAGGAATTGCCAAAGTTGCATTTCGAGAGGCAAGATCCTCACTGATTAAGAATCCTCGGTCTGCCAAAATAACATCCCCATTTTCTATCAAATCTAAGAATCTTGATCTTTGTGTAACTACCTTATCGGATGTCCTGCCCCCAAAGGCTTTTGATAAAAATGTTATACAGCCTGATGGATTGATCCCTATCAAAAACTTAAAGTGTATTGTTTTGTTTATAATTTGACCAAGTAGTCGCACGGGCTGTCAAGTTCCCTGGACGCTCAATATAGATTTCAGTACAATCTATTATACACCTGCAGTTTTTAAATAGTTGTTTCACAACTGTTGGAGTAGAACAAATTATTTCCTCTTTCCCAGGCCACTGTATCAGAAAACGGAGATGCGTAGCTAAAGTTGGGAGTCCTTTATTAAGAAGATCTGACACATGTGCTTCTGACACAAAAAATCTCACAGCTAGGTCTTGATTAAACAGATTCACCTTGAGTTTCATTAAAATCAATAACAGTACATTTCCTGGATCTAAACACTGTGATTTTGGAAGTACAGACACAAGAAAAGTAAGTAACCATGAAAACACAGCAAATGATGGTAAACCAGTGAAGAATGAAACACGACTGTCATTGTTTTCAATAGTCTTCACTCCAAATTTGACTTGATTGATGGTGTTTCCAAGATCATCTCTTTCTGTCTGCAACCTTGCCAGTTCTTGTTGAAGTTGCTTGTTCTCCAACTTTAACTCTGTGATTTTTTTTAAACATGCATCATGGATATCTGCAAACACACAAATACATCTACATGAGCTTAAAAGTTAAGGAATCATTAGAGTACATTTCCATTGAGCATGGTTAATATTATACATATCAATACTGCATACATAATATATACAACATTAGTACATGAAGACAGTTAATAATCACAGAAGCATGTTGAGTACTGTATACATATGTATCTTGATACATCAGAGAATAGTTTGATGTGTAAAAAATCCTTGTCAATTCAGTTTCCTGAACTATTTTTTTGTTATCCCTATTCCAACATAAAAATAGGTAAACATAATAATGAAAATCATTGAGTGAGCATGGAAAATAGCCTTATGATACCATAAGGTCATACACATACCTATATGAGGAGAAAACATAGACTCTTGATCTGCTGATGTAGATTCTGTGAATGTACTGATATCAAAACTGTCATCCCTGTTATGTATATCTGAAAGTTCAAGGAGGGCCTTAGCTACATGTGTTCTGTTTTCTTGATCAAGAAGTCTTCCTTCCCTCTGTATTCTCCGTTCAAATCTTTTGGTTTTAACAACTGGGCTGACATCCTGTTTATCATACCCAAGATGTAGACTAGGTACAAAGTCTGGATTAAATGGCAGGTCACTTTTCTTTCCTATAACAAAATAAATAGCATGTAGATACAAAATGCACTCTAAATTAGTCGGAAATTTTATTTATATTTTAATATCAAAAAATATATTTGGGCTATACAAATCAAAATAATAAACACTTCGAAAATAATATCATTCCTAAAGTCGCAATATTTATGATTTAAGAATTATTGACTATGTGTACATGTATGCTATTTGTCAGAATGACACCAGCTGTAAATACAAGGAAAGGAATAATTTCGATTTTGTTAAACAATATACAGACTATTCCGATTTTGTGAATAACACACAGACTATAGTTTGTAAGAAAAACAAAATTACCACTGATGAAGTGCCGACCGCACACTCGACTATTTGGTGATGGATCCCAGTTTTTTCGTCGGATAGCAGCTACCCATAACCGTTTTCTTTCCAGATCTTTCGGCAGACGATGAAAAGATAGACTCGTATCATCAGTCGGTCTGTTGTATCAACCGCTGACACAACACGTTATAACCATTATTTGGTTTTGTAACTTGCCGTCGGCCTACTGTTTTCATCGAGATTAAGAAATGGCTACTGGAGGTCAGAGGTCTTGACCTCCAAGAGGCGTGGCCTATTTTTTCACGTGACTTCGTGACGTCACTGTGAAAGGTCTTATACTAACAAATGGGAACAATATAGACATATTAGAAATCAATGTATCGATGCATTTCGTAACGCTAAGGAAAGCTATCGTATTACACTAACTAGAATACAAATACGACCCCCGTCATTGGTGGAAAATATCAAATAATTTTACAAACATTTTCTACAAAATCCAATTCTAAACCTATACTTTAACTAACGGAAAAGAATATTTGGAAGATAAGGAAAATGCTACTATACTGAATAACTTTTTATTCAACAGAGTCAACTTGATTATGAAAATAGCATTCTTCCTAACGTACATAATAACGCAGAATACACAATAGATAGTATAACTATCACTAATGAAAATGTTTTAAATGCAAAAAAGTAAACGGTTCGAGTGAATTTCAGTTTTTAAATATCAAGCTATCATTGAAATATAACTGTACTTTGTATATTTTACAAGAGGCCCCGAGGGTCTGTATTGCTCACCTGAACATCTAAGCAATTTTGCAAAATATTTTCCAAATGAGATCCAAGGGCAAGGGAATATGCCAGACCCCCAAGGCCAATCCTTGTAGCATATCTGTATTCGATTTTTCATGCCCACATACCTGCCAAGTGACCTAATTTTGTCGGGTTACACACAGGATTTTAGCCCTTCACCCGCTTTTATAACTTCACCCGCTGGGTGACGATTTTGACCCGGATTTCGTCCATTTCACCCATTTTCACCCGGAATCTTTTCGTATATTAGAAGTTACCGAAGTCACTCGGAATTCTCTAGACTTTTCCATCCTTTGTCATAAGAAAGGCGATATATTTCCTGTTTCCATTTCTCACTGACAGGTAAGTTGTGAGTTGTTTATATGCGTACTAGAACTGTTTTTACAAATGATTATATGAAGACCGTTGTTACTGAACTTACCGACAAGTTATTAGTGAGGTGTTTTAACGAATAATTGAGTTGTTTTTACAATTGTATTTAGGTAGTATAAATCGTATTTTGAAGGTAATTATGTCTTCTTGAAGGAAGAAGTCGTTATCAGGACTTGCAGGTTCTACTACACGAAATGCTAAAAGAAAACATAATTGATGAGTTATAGTGGATAAAGTCCGGTGGTCATGGACCAAACGCTCCATTCTGCACTCTTTGTTAATCGCATATTTTAGTTGGATCTGGTGCTAAAAACGACGTTACTTAGACATCCAAAAACACGCACAGGCATTTGATGATTTGTTTCTGTCAATCAAAATGATCCCGACAATAAGAATTCAAACCCTACTCGTATAAAACTGATACTTTATATGAGTAGGGTGCAATTTCTTATTGTCAGGATCATTTTCATTGACAGAAACAAAATTGAATTTTATATGAACAGAATGTGACATCTTATTGACAAGTTATTGTCAGGACCATTTTAATTGACATAAAAAATGCCTGTGAAAACACATTATCATATTTATTATTATGAATTAGTATTATAAGTTGTGTTGTTGACAAATCTTTTTATATTTCAGCTTTGAACTTGGTATTGTGGATGAGGATCAGCTAGATCTGCTGGAAGAATAGTTCATTGAATATAGAATGCACCTTTTACATCATTAAAATATTAAAGATCTAATTTAATATCTACATATACTTTTCTTATATTTGTTGCGAAAAAAGACGTCGCGCGCTATGACCCTCTTTTTTATTTTCAAAAGAGGGTCATCACCCTTTTTCAGTATATCCGGGGTTGGCAGGTATGTGCCCAGCATTTGTATTTATAGTTTTGGGGTGGGGATCTCAACCGTTTCAAAGTTATATGACCCAAGGGTTAAGTCTGCAAGGGTGGGGCAGACCCTGGGGTCAATTCTAATATCGTGACTGCGTTTGTCTCGTTATGCCCAACAGTTGTATATATAGTTTTGGGGTGGGGATCTTAACCATTTCAAAGTTATGACCCAGAGGTTAAGTCTCCAAGGGTGGGGCAGACCCCAAGGCCATCCTGGAAACATATGTGCAGTCATCTCTTTATACTCAGCAATTGTATGTATGGTTATAGGGTGGGGATCTCAACTGTTTCCAAGCTGTGACTAAGAACCTAGGTCCCTAGGGGTTTGGTCGGACCCCAGGGTCTATTCTAATATCATGACTACATTCGTCTCTTTAAGCCCTGCATTTGTATATATAGTTTTGGGGTGGGGATCACAACCGTTTCAAAGTTATGGGACTATGTCTCAAGGGTGGGGCCAGACCCTAGGGCCATCCTGGAAGCAAAAGTGCATTCTTCTCCTTATACTCAGCAATTGTATGT